CATTTGAATGCGAGGCATGAATACTACAAGACAAATCGATTTAGGTGTGTCTTAACAAGCAAGGTGAGTGTGGGAATACGGAGAGAGTGTGACAAATCAGGCATACGGGTGTCGGAGACAGTGAGGAGTATGGGGAGTTAGGGGGGCGTGAGATAGTTCACGTACTTAGCCGATCATTCGCGACCATTTAAACCACAACACTGCATTGGAAACGCCCTCTGGAAATATACATCCTTAGCATTTTAAGAAATTTTGAATAGATCGGATAATATTTGAAAGTCATTTGTACTACGCTTGCTCGCAACTTAGAAACGTTTATTTATTAAGTCATGTATGATGCTTTGAAATTGAAGAAAAGAAACCACGCAGCTTTGGACATAGCCTGCATTGGCATACTCAATTGAGACGTTTATACATACTTAAACGTCGAATTATCCCTCTGTTAGCATTCTCCCCAGATACTCCATTCGCTGATAACCCTAGCAAAAAATAAAGTTTGAATATATGTGTTACTTTCAGGAATTTCCAAGTGTCCGCGCATCGGCTACGAAATTATTATTGAACATGTGGCTAAATTCTTGATGCAAGGAGCAAACTACTACGGGTTCAAAGAGAAAAGTTTGCAATTTTTACAAATGAATGTGTTTTACAATTATGTCTTCCACATCTTCGTTCTACAACTCTATTTAATTAATATTTTCGAAACGGAAACACTGTTCGGAATGTCGGTGGAGATTTCATAAGTTAGGCAACCTACTGTATACATATGAATGACTAATTTAGTATGCATTCCGAGGTGGTACGAAAGGAGGAAGTTCGTGGGAAAAACGACTTTTACCCTTGTTCAGACGCAGTAAATAATGAGATTGTCACACTGATGGTTAAGGACGAAGACAGGAAGATAAGCAGCCGACCTTGCGAGTGGGAGGTGTGCCTCGCATTGTGATGGATGTGCGAGGTGGCGAAGGTGCTATGTGACCCAGCTGTGTCTCAGCGTGTTGGGGGGAGGGGGGAGGAGGGCAGGGAGGGAGGAATGGCGCGTCGGCGTAATCATGTATGTCCGATGTTTGTAGCCTGAGATTATGAGTAATTGTTCTGAGACTTTACAGATCATGCGTGTTAAAAAACCTTACGTAACCCGTAAAACCATCCTATCTCATTTTTTTTAACCTGAGATTCCCGTAACTAGGCACAGCTGCTAGGATCTATCAAGCAACAAAACAAGACTTTGGAGTTTACTTGAGTTACGAAGCAAAAACAGGATCTTCTGCAGGAAAAGTAAATACAAAACATGTTTTGCGAACCATGACTAAAGAAAGAAGTAAACAACAGGTGGTGTTTTTGAAAAGAAATTGCCGCTTAGGAGAAAATAGTTAACGCTAAATTGCGGCCAATAGCGCAAGATATATTTCCAAACAGACAAGACAGATTTCGGAAGTATGGAGGAATACGTTCATTGTATGTTGGTTTTTAACCGTATGCAGGTTAAATGCTCCCGGCTCACACTGTGAATCTTTCCATTCACATAAAGCGTGCAAATATGAGCTTAATTAATAAAATCTCTTTTTACTGAAAAGTCTCCGGTTTCCTGTTCACATACATATTGTTATCCGTCAAATTAAAACTCAGAAACAGTAATCGAAAAAATGACAGAAAATGTTTCTGTCAACATATAATAAGCCCTAAAAATTGATTTTAAGAATATAAAATATCATAATGTAAATCATCTAGACTGAACACAAAAAATGTTCATTCACAAGGAGTCATGTCGTGTCGTCTCAAAACAGATTAGCTGATTTTAGCAGTATGCATTAACTATCACGTCTAGACCAAAGTGAGAATGAAATGAAGTGAAGATCGCTTGTATGTGATCCCAGTCGGCAATACGAGAACAGGAACGCGTCAATTTTCGGCCTAATCAGTCTAAGGGATAAGGTTAATGCAAAGGCCGTGCTTGGGGCCAGACGCACGGTTGAAGTAATGTTGAGGTTGGCTAAGGCCCGAGGTCGGAATAAATGATGATGTTGGGAGCATGCAGCCTTTCTGGAATTTAGCGCAACATCACTCGTATAATGAAGCTCAATATCCTATTTCGCGCGCGCTGCCAAGACTTATCTCCCCAAAATATATTTTTTTAACCTGCGCAATGCGCTGAAGCAGCAATGCTTTCGTTTCCTATATGGCCTTTTAATAACATCCTCAGATAATTGTATTATTAAGAATAAAAAAATCCTTAAAAATCTCTTTTGTGAATGTCGGCAGTGGTATGACAAATCCAGCATCATTTGACGCAAAGTTCAAGGTGCTCGGCGAGACTCACAAGATGTTACCACGGTGTACTGTATAATAGTCCGTTGGCGCTGTAATCTTCTAATGCATATCATCGTAGTCAGGACTGCGGGAGTGCGGCGTAAACGACTGGAGTACGCACAGTTAGGAAAAATGAATTCTTCCTAATGTGATCATAATGTCAATGAGAGGCGATTCGCATCCCAGCCAACTACTTTCTTCCCAGAGACCTGAACGCGTTTTACGAACCCCATCACTGCTGGGAAATAGCGACTAGAGTTAATGAGGGGGGAAATGTCGTCTCAGATGATTTTATTGCTTACAGCATCATTAGTTAAATTGTGGAGCTGCAAGACTTCTGTGTCCGGGAATTTTCTGTCTAAGGCATGTGACACAAACTATCTTCTACATACCTTCCACAGGTTGAATGCTTGAATTCTGTGTTACGAATTACACTGTCAGCTAGATATGCGCAAGAATGCGCCAACTGTGTGAAGTGATTTTAGAGTGCGGGGAACGTGTCCTATTTCCAAACAAAATTCGAAAGATCTACTAACGGCATCATGCTGGAACTTTGCAAAATACCAAATGTAAACAAAAAGCCAGTATTGGCAGCTGAAGTTAAGCAAACCCTGGAATTAAAAGGCCTACTGTATCCAAGAAAAGGTGCTTTGTTGTTGTCGGTCGATAGTGCTCTGATCACCATGGCTGCCACGTCTGTATTGGCTGTCATAGGTTAAATATGTCAGCAATCTTCGGACTGCGGTGCACGCCCACTTTTATTTTCGCCGTATGCGGTTTGGGAGGTCCAACGTCCAAAGTCAGGTTTTTAATTTGGAGCGGTACTTATATCCTAAATCAAGCATATACCTTCTACAATTCGAAGGGGCGTTATGTACACAATGAATAAAATTCCTTCTTTCGTGTGCGAAAATAATTAAAGCGATTGCCAGTGTGTGCTTTGTGAGCACAACACATTGAGCACATTTGCGGGGTTCATCAGTTCGGCAACTACCCACACTCTAATGGATCAGCATCACTGGTTAATACATTAGTCATGCATACACTAACATACCCGGAGAGCGGTAATAATGTTTTGGTCGTATTCTTACCATTTGCCGCGAATGTTCATGAAACAGTATATCCGCGCCAATATAGTGTCGTAAGAAGTCCAATTTATCAGCTGAACGAATCTGGAGTGACAGTGCGTCCAGGTTGTCATTTTGTGCCAACATTACCCGCACACTACGGTTACTAGGTGCAAATACACCAGAAGTGTATTATCATACCATATAATGCAGGAGACTCCTAGCTCGAATCTGTTGTTGGAGATTTTATTCGTGACCCCTACCCCCTGACAAAAGATACCATTTAAGCAAGACAATCGGGAGACTATAAATTGCAAAAAGTCGGAAGTGCAAAATGTCACATCTACTCCTCATTGGAATGTGCAGTCCTGAGCATTATCTGCAACTTCAATGACCTTATATAAGTGAAAATAATTGTATAGTTCATCGTTCGTTCGGAGTGACAAAACGCTAGGATAATTCAATCTATTTCTCTTATCCTTCCAGCACATGAGGGTATTTCCGGTTATGCTGACTGCACTCAATATTGACTTGCCTGAACATGAGTAAGGGAATAAATTGAAATCTAATGAGCACCTATCAGTTACGAAACATTTAAACTTAAATGCCTGAAGTCTAACTGAGATACTATTATTTTAATTATAAACTCTGGTGCCAATTCGGTTTAACACCGCTTCTTTACGCAGTTGCGACACGACTTAAGTGTCAGTACAATAAAATTCAAGCACAGCCGAATTCGGCGAGAAAATATAGTTTGTTTTGTGTTTAAAACAGAGTAGGAATGCTCACAGTTAACTTAAGAAGCATTTTTTCGGCTAATTTACTTTCTTATGGTTATTGCATCATGCAGGTTCGAGTGTGGAGGTTGAAAAAATGATGGAAACTAAGGAAAACACAATATTTGTGGGTTTTTCAAAGATGTTTTTAAACTGACATCAATAACATCTTTATGTGAAAAGGGTGCGACAGGCGACAAACTTTAAAGAAGTACAGAGCTGACAATTTCTCCTGATACGAAGTGTTGACCGACCACCCTGATTTGTTGCGGTTTGTTGAGCAGAATGTGTGTCCAAATAATTTAACCTGGCAAATTCTATTAAAGTTTGCGCGAAAAAGGACGTTAAAGCAAATGTAGCCATTTTTTTTATTTTATACCCCTAGAAGACCTCGGCTTAAATAAAGAGCACGTTTTCGATGACAAAAATGTAATATGCTCCTGAGTGGCTTATTAATCAGAGTTCGTCGCACTTGGAAGTCAGTTGTGTCGGATGCTAAATACGGCAGTTACTTAACTAGCACACAAGTTATTGCTTAGATGTCTCTTCCAGCTACTTCGAGCGAAGGCTGAATTTGTCATAGACAACACGGTATACAATGCGACACCGACAGAAAGTTTTGCAATTTATGCTGAGTAAAGCATAACATTATCAATAGAAGCGAAGAGCCGAGTCCCAGGAAGTAGTCTTGAAGAAGGAGACACGATCGCCGGTACAAGAGCTTTATTAGCCTGACGTTTTGGATTCCTACTCGAATCCATCATCAGAGACAAATGAGCAGAAACGGTTGGTTGTTGCACAAGGGGCTGTGGTATTTATAGGATGCAGCAGCCATGCTACCGCATGCCTATGAACGTTCACGGCTTCCCCCTTCATCCGGGATTGTCACACGTGGGGTGATCATTGCTTGATGGCCGACATTCGAGTCGATAATTGCCGCAATTTCATCACGTGCGTTGGATGTTGGCGTGATGATTGCTCGGCCATCTGATGCGTCGACCCGGGTGTTGGGAAGAGTGTTCACCAGTGCGCTCCCCGCGTGGCCAATTACTCCGCCTAGACGAAGTCTCAGCACGCTGTATTGAATGGGAAGATCGTTGCACTTGTTGATGGACTGGGGGCCAGTAAACCATGATTCCAGTAGCTCTCGGCTCACTCGATTGTCACCTCTTGCGAGAATTTCGGCCTCATCGAATTTAAATGTGTGGCCGGGTCTCATCGAATGAGCCGCAACTTGAGAGCTGGCGTCATTTCTGCGCACCGCTGCCGCGTGTTCGGCCATTCTCGTTCGGAGCTGTCTTCCGGTTTCTCCGACGTAGTTGCTTTGTCCGCAACTGCACCAGATCCGATAAAAGACTCCAGACGTTTCTAGCCGTGCCAGTGGGTCTTTCGGTTTTATGATCAGACGCCTGATGGTTGCCTCCGGTCTGTGTGCCACTCCAACCCCAAGTGGTGCGAGAAGGCGGCCGACAGCTTTCGAAACGTTCTTGACATACGGAAGTGCCCGCCAAGACTTGGTGTCCGTGCGGTTAGGCCTTTCATCCCTTTTGCGTATGCACCGGTCGACGAAGTTGGCTTTGAAGACCCGTCGGAGGTATTGTAGTTCAGCAATTTTGTCTTCCGGCTCACTGCAGTGCGTTTCGACACGCCGATAGAGCGTCCTTACACAACTGCGTTTGTGGCTGATTGGGTGGTTACCGTTGAAGTTCAGTACTTGCGTCGTATTTGTCGCTTTCCTGAACACTTTGGTCTTTAGACCATCACAATCCTTGCGGCATACGAGGACATCCAGGAAGGCCAGCTGGTTGTTCTCTTCCTCCTCCATCGTAAATTGAATGTCCGGGAAGACGGCGTTGAGATGTTCTTGGAATGTCAACACCTGATCCCGTTCGATGACGACGAAGGTATCATCCACATACCGGGCCCATAATTTCGGTCTGTGGTGTTGGAAGAGCAGCGACTCTAACCGTTGCAGGACCGCCTCGGCGATGAATCCCGAAATCGGCGAACCCATTGGTGTGCCCTTCACCTGTTCGTAGATTGTCCCGTCGAACGTGAAGTACGTCCTGAGACAGAGCTTCAGGAGCTGAAGAATTTGGGCGTGTCCAAGACGGTTCTCTGTTTCATCGTATTTGCTTTGTAGTAGCAGTTTAATTGTCTCGATCGCCAGGTCCTGGGGAATAGAAGTAAAAAGGGATGTAACATCAAAAGATGCCATGACTTCATTTGGATGGATGCTTACCCCTTTGAGTTTCTCCAGGAATTGTGCTGAAAAAGAGGGGAAGGGTGAATCCGTGAACGTTCATGCATGCATGCATGCATGAGTAGGTTTTTGTTTGCGAATGATTATCAACAATATGCAAATGTTGACGGCTCTCATCGACAAGAAGGGTGACTCCCACTCTCACTTTTTATGTCATATAGGCCTGCTTTCTGAATTATTACAACGAGGCCATAAATCTAATCCAAACTAACAAAATCGACAAATCTTTATTCTGTGCTCATTCAAAAAATAATGTTGATCCCCGTTTTTGTCTAATTTTGATTGTCTCCCCGGGAATGAACGCAGCTATCCATGTTTAAACAATAGATCGGGACATTCAACTATCTGTTTTTAAATCATCTTCCAATCACTTAATTCCACTGTCTCATTGGCCAATCAAGACCCCTATTAAAAAGCCTCACCCATAGGATCAGACAATTCTCACTCTGCATTAAAGTTGTTGCATCAATATTTGAACGCGTTTGGCGAAAGGATGAGATTACTCACCGCCTTTCTCTTTTTGTTTCATGTTGTTGGATGTTGCTTTTATATGCATAGTAAGCTTCTTATAGCGGCTTGTTTCATCTGCAGAGTGGACCATTTTAGGATACTTAGACATGTAGTTGAAGTTGATTTATTTGTCTTCTGTCCGTTTAGCTACATCAAAATTTGATTCAGTCCAATCATTCAGTCGTAGTTAGTCAGAAGTCTATAATTTGAAACCCAACATTAACTTGTGACAGAAATTTATATCTAAGATCGTAGCATAGTAACTAGATATTCAGCACATATAATCGGATATCAATAAGGAATCATGTCTAGGCGCACACATAACGTAATGTGAAAGAATTCAAATGTATTTCTAAAAAAACTAGTTTTAACAAAGAGCACTGAATAATAACAAAACACAATGCAGATCAGTAATATAATAAGTAAAAAAGTTTACACAAGTTAAATGCTCTAAAAATCTGATTAAAGACTGGTCATAGGCACTTGTAACTTGCCTGCTTTGATATGCAGTCCAAGGTTGTAAGTCATGTTTGTTGTTTCAGCCAAGGTTTTCATTGAGATAGACAACCAAGTTGCATACAGAAACCTGACGGCCTAAATAATGTAAACCACAAAATAAAAAATATTCTTCATTTTTCTCCGTACATATACTTGTTGGTTAAACCCTTTGTAAAAAAATATTTTAAAATATTTTGCCTCTAGGAATTCCAAAATGTCCACGCATCGACTATGGAATAAGGATGGAGCATGTTGCTGAATACTTAGTACAACGGGCAAAATACTACGGGTTTGAGAAAATGCTGCTGAATGGGAACACGAATTTGATATTTAAATTAACATTCCGAATTTCAAATTTACATTTTAAGTGTACGTATTTGCGAGATATATCACCTGCAAATTATTGGCAATACACATGTCTGGCTCCAATTCCGGACACAAGGGTTACAATAGTAAAGTCGGTAAGAAGTGCAAGTTAAGGTGCCAGTTAATTAACAAGATTGTGACAGATGAGCATGTTTTAACGCATATTTTGTACATTGAATTAAAAATTCGTCTAAAGGTTTTGTTTTAACGCTTTTTTTGCAGAATTTAAAATCCGGAATTTCTTATGATCCGATAAACGAATTCATTTATGCACAGTATAGACTACATGGTCTAACATTGAAGGCAACTGTCGACATCACATACTGGGAGGAGGAGAATAACCCACCAAACATGATTCGACTGTCTATGTTGGAGCTGAGTCAAGCAGGGACAAATACTGCAGGCAGATCATACAAATCCACCAACCTCGATTTATTAAATTTGCTAAATATGAATGAGACCGACTTCGATATTTTTGTTACCGGAAGTTTTCTAAAGGCCCTTTCAACAGATTGTCATCAGTAGCTATTAGCGGTATGGACCAACGTGAGTTCTAAGTAAGAAAATTTCACAGTTGCTACAAATACAGTAATTCTTTTAAGCACTCAAATTTCGCAATTTGTAAATTTATTTAAAGAAAAAAATTCATTTTTGCCAGACTTCTGCAAATATGGACTGTTTCTAACTGCTTCGCAGATGATAAACTAACATAGACGAAATAACCGTCTGTTTAACAATGAACAAAACAATAATAAATTGACTAACGTGATAAAAAGTAATTGCTAATTGTTTGCGTTTTTTATTGCAGAAACCAAAAAGACCACGATAGGTCGTAGGAACCTCAACAAACTTGAGCTACTAGTGCGTGTTAAACGTTGAATGATAATAGAGAGAGTTTCATAAGTGGGGCAACATATATGTGGAAAAGCAAAATTACGCAGAAAATAAATGAGTTTCTGTCAAGATTCTTATCGTGTTCTGTCATTTTGGGAAAACCTTAAGCGCGATAATTAAAAAATGAGCAATAAGCAATTTTTCTTTAAAGCGTACCGGACATTAGCTTAGACAGCGCTGTTATGTCGTCATTTAGTCAGGCTATTAAGCCGATTTTAAACATTAAGTACGCCGAAGAAAGTGGTATATTAAGTAGCCGTAAATTTAAGGGTCCACCTATGTAGTTCAAATCTACCTGTAGGTCCTAAGCTCTACAGTTGCCATTTCAAAACAAAAGCAAATACTTCAGACGGAGAAGTGCACGCAGAGATTACTTAGTCCAGCAGAGGGCTCAGCATGTCTTGCATACTTGAACTTTCATATTGGAATTTTGGCATTTTACCGTCCAAATGTCTGAAAGCAAACTGCATACGAGAGTGTAAATTCAAATTTGCTGTAGATATGCAGCAGTGTCATATGTGATCATGAATGCACATGAGCCCATTAGAGAAGGCCAATCCAAGCCTGTGAGTCATCGCGTATGTTTAATGGTAAACAATGTTAAGGAGTTAGTAAAACAAGTGCATTTTTATACTACATCTTAATTTGTGAGATTAATTAATGCACTTGAATTAGTTACAACAATTTTACTTTCTTTGATAGGCACATTTTTACTATGACAGACAGCACACAAAATCTGCATTACTACCTGTTTGACAGATTATGAAAAAAAGGATAGCGAAACATTGATAGGTAATTACCAATGCTTGCAGCACCAATTTATATATGAGATGAAATAAAACTATGTTCCAACGTAGGGAAGCAAAACTCGAGAGAAATCATCATAATTCTATTGTGGGAAGGGCAGGCTTTCCCTTACCACCTTGTACCAACATTTTACTTGAATACTCTCTTTGCGAAAATCATTTATCACAATTGCGAAAGTTGCCTAAAATATCCTTGTAAAAACCGCACCCACAATGTTATACTAATTTTTGAGAACAGTCTTTAGCTGCGTCACAAATTTGACGCATGATTTAGTACGGCCTTGGTATGTCCACAGCCACCCTTTCAATTTCGTAAATGTGTCATACGACTATTGACATCTATGTAGGACTTCCCAACATGTATAAGCTGAGGCGTTTAAGGACCCGCCACCGGTTAGTGCTGGTCTTTGATCATTCGTCGACGCCTATTTCGTAACGCTGCGCCACAACCTATAAGGAGAAAACTTATTCCTTTTTAAAAGCATAATGCCAAATGCAATCTGCCGCCCATTTAATGGACTAAACATAGCGCAGGTTTGCAGCCTGAATACACGTTTATAATGGGTTAGGTGAAGGGAAAGGGCAGATGGATAGGTGAATAATGAACTTTACTTAGAAGCCGCCCATGGGTTCCTACCAGAGCACAGATTTGTTTTCAGTTGCGTACTCGTGTTTTAGGTGGGCAGGACGACGGAATATCGAGTTTGTTGTACAAAGCGTGGCATTCAACCAACAATTCGATTTATAGACGTAATGCTCTGGTCAACCTTTATCAGACACTTTGAAAACAACAGCTGCCTAGCTAAATTAATTCTCGCGAAGTTGTGCGGTTCCCTTATCCCTTGGTGCTGGTCACGAATACGCGTACGAAACATTAATGATCAAGCTACTTGCCCTAGACATAAACGTACGAGGTTAGATAGAGCAGATTGCCATTCACCGCGGGTTGTAAACGGTCGCCGATGCTATGCAAACTAGATTCGCATAATCAGTGCTGGATTATAGCGGCCGAGAATTGCCGGTGGGCTGTGGAATGCGATCTCAAATTCACTTAAATTAGTCTGTCGCGCAGAAAATTCAGAAATTATTTAGACAGCATACACAAAAACGCAGTCGAGAATATCGTGGCGGCTACCATAAAGCTAATGCTGTGTTCACTACCATGTCCAGACACAGTGGCGAATCACAATATGAAAAACGTGATGATTAAATATATATTTGTGATAGGCAAACGCTCGGCCTCATGCAGCCCAGGATTCAGAAAAGAGCATGAGTAGAGCAAGCGTTTATTTCGAAAGTCCATCCCACGTCGGATTTAACTAATATGCTTTATCAGCCTATCATTCTATCCGTCAGTAGCGTGTGACGCTGCTGAACGTCGTTGCAGCTCAAATGAAGTGTTTGCAAGCGGACGGCCTAAAATTGCAGGCAGTGTTGAATGCTTATTCGATCTCATAATTATAAGATGGAAAATAAGTGGCATAATCGATTGGAAAATATTTAAATATAATATAATATAAAAGCGTCCGGAGATAAACGTTGTCCTGACACGCACATGCATCACGAATTATTGTGCAAGTACAGTTACTAGCCGACTTTTATCCTAATTTCAGGTGTTTCCTAATTATGGAAACTAATCACAAATCGTCGTCGCTTTTATTCTGAGTCCGCGAAGTATGTTTGTCATGTCCCGGCGGCATGTAGCGCTGACCGCCGTTAGCGTACCTGCAGACGCTTGATTATGTTATGCGGCTATTTCATGCACAAGTAGAAATCACGTCATCCACAGATCGACGGTGTTTTTTCCCCTCTCCATAACCCAACTTTTATCAGTATAGATGTTCTAAAAGGCTAAAACTCGATTGAGAAACTGCTTCAGACAGCAATGGATTTGATCGACATAACGAGAAACTGCAGGACAGACGGCGTATAGCTGGGTTGTGTGAGGTTTTTGAGTGAACATAAAGAGGTCAGAACTACTTTGTGGACTGGCGTATGTCTGGAGTTGGAAATGTAGTCAGCTCTTTGAGGTGACATGTCTCTTGGTCGTCTTGTTGGTTTGGTCAACGCAGGATGCTATGGTTATGGTTTGAAGTGGCGTCGACCTAAGCGCGAATTCTACACATTCTAGTCGAGTAAACAAGTTACAGCCTCGTGAGTTGGTGATTACGTTTATAGTTTGGCGAGTGTCGCAGGTCTGTCTTAGTGGTTGGGTGTATTCGATGGTTGGAGCTAAGGCTCAATCAATCGGAAAATCTGAGGTGACAGACACCCTCTGGGTACATAAATGGCGTAACTGACATTTGCACGGACATTTACCCTCAGTGAGGCCTGTAACAGTTTGTGTACTTCTACTTTCGCTTGCGTTGAACCTCAGGTTGAAGAGAACATCGGACGAGGTTGGTATGCGTTTGTTCAAATTAATCGTTGCATGCTTGTTTGTCAACCTTTTCGAGAAATTGTTTGACAAATTGGTCGCTCGTTGCAGCCGATTAAAATTTGCACGTATATGTTTGCGCAGTAAGTCGCAAACCAACGATCTGTTTACATATTATCAAGGAATCGACAAGGTAGTTGTTGCACTTGCAGGAGCAGATTGAAATTTGGTGCTATTGAGGAGATGCATTCATGACCCCTGGAACAACAACGCTCCTCAAATGTATGCTAACAGTGGCAGTCGGTTTTGTGTGCATATGATCATCTCGATTTCCTGATTTGTCACAGACTGCTAGGTGCAATGACGTGCCAATAAAAACAGTATAAAGGGAAGGTAACATCTTGTATCGGCGTCGCTTTTATTTTATCAAGTGTTTGAAATGAAGTCTAACTTTTCGAAATCATGAAATGTAAACAATCCAATAGACCTTTTCGACTATGAATAGTTACTTAAAGAGATTTGTTTTATTCGTCACCACGCAACATAATCCCAGAATATTACGGACACGAGGTACTGCCGTCTCCTGACTGTGTTTCTTTGGCGCCCAGCAAAATCACACTAGCTGAAATAGCGAGTGTTTACCTAATTGAATCGCGATACTCACACATATTAAAATGTTTGTTTTAGGGAAATGCGCTCTAGAAGGTCATTGTACCACGGTTCTCAAAACGGTTGTTGTATTTTCCGTACGTATAGTTTTTGTGCGTTCAAACTTTTCCGTGAAGGAACAAGAGCATTTATGTGTGTCGTTATTAAAATGCCATATAATTATAAGGAAATGTTCAAACAATAAACTTTCAAAGAAAACACACGAACACTAAACTATCGATTTAATTAAAAGTCATGTAAAATGCTCACTTTCAAGACTCCCACAGGAGTCAAGAGTTTCCTTCGGTGTGTCCTTGCCGCAAACCCCGAAACGCCTCGCTAAAATATAGTCTTTTACGGCAATAATATAAAGAATGCGCACTGAAATATCAAACCCATTTAGCATGCTTTATATGAAACCGATATTAATCATGCTAATGTGTCCTTAGGTTATTTCAGTAATCAGCAGGCGTCACACAGAAGGCTATGTTATTTTTCAACCAACGTTTGCACCTGCTAGTCTATATAGAGGAAACAGGCCTCACTCCAACTCACAGAGAAGATGCATGGAATGCATTACCCTATAATATATAGAAATTATATATTAAAGGAATATAAACACATGCGTTTCGATTGGAATCCAGTCCACAGTCGACCATATTGACGGCATGAACGTAGACGTTGTTACCGACGACAGTAATAGACACTTTAACCTGATCGATCAACGTTAATCCTGTCCGGCTGCTAAGTACTAAGAATCCAAACATGAATCCAGTGCATAATTTTTGCTTTGGTATCCAAAGAACGTGCATGCACAGTATGGAAAAATTAACGATTTCCGAAACTCGAATGTTTAAATCATAAACATGGTCTTCCCCCAGACATAAACTTTTTGTCTGCAATGTGCAACAGTAGGTCAAAAAGCTGAATTTGTTTGTCGTTTTACCAGCCGAAATCAGGATATTCCATATTGCAGTAGAATGACAAACTATCGACGTTTCAGTAGACGTCGGGGTGACCTGCAATGTTACTGACTTCGGCGCGCTTCTGAAATTAATGATAAGCATTTGGTCAGGTGATTCGTATAATTTCGATAAATATGCATCTGCAGTCAGTATCAGGAGGGAGGAAAATGGTGAGCAGACGTTGTTCAAAGGATTTTGATAGCTTGAGGAAACCTTGTAAATCTACCGGAATGCTTGTTCGTTATCCATGCAGTGATCTACGTGTATCATGTATGTCCGAAAAGAATAGCTCACGTTCTTGAAATGCTCCTTTTCTTAACCTTCTGTAAGGTGTTATCTTATTCTTGGAAAATCGCCGGCTCGAGCGACCAGGATAATCTGCCGCACAGGAACAGATGAAGGGGTTAATGCGCATAGAAGTGGTGTAAGGAAGTAGTTTGTTCTTACACACTCCGTAAAATATGGACTTTGTGGGGAAGTTTACCCAGGCGCCGTCTGCGAAAGGTGCGCGATACAGTTGAGTTAAGTGGCCCACTTTGCACGTGCCCCTGAAACGGGGGCCTGATGAAAAGGTCTTTTTTTCTGTCGTTAGCGTCGGGATGTTTGTGGTTTTGACCGTGCACCAAGTAATACATTCATCGAGCTGTTCGTTCTGGGGAAGCAACTTTTCGACATTCTTAAGGTCATCCTTAATGGTCTTAGCCGAGCAGATCCTTCATAAGCTTCCTTGCAAATAATAGACTAGATTAGGCTTACTGTCAACAGGTACGAAACTACCGAAATTAATGTGTTGCCCAGACTACATCGTTGAAAGTTAGACTCTGCGTCCAACATACGGTCGAGACTTCAACTCAGAAGTAAATCCAGGAAGATGCGCGATTCGGACTGTTCTACTTTCAGCGTTAATTTTATTGATGGGTACGTCTGATTGATGTCATATAGTAGAGGGAAAATGTCGAGGAGTAGGCGGCTCCATCTTCAGGAGGCGGGAGGATGGATGGTGGAGCAACTTAACTCTGGTCTTTGAAACGCTGTGGTCAGTCAGTCTTAAGCGCAGACCGTCCTAGTAGGCGTCCAGCTCAACAGGGCAGTTATACTGTCCTGCAAAGCAAGCATCGCTCAACTTATGTATTCTCACTTCTAGAATGGCAAGCTGTCATTCACTGCAGAACACTATACAACAGTGCCATGTGGCAACATAATATCGGCTAAACTCGCGTTTTAACATTAACTAATAAGTTTGCTGCTTCAAAGATATCCCGTTCCATCAATATATACTACTTGCTGTTTTTAGGCTGATAGTGAGTAGTACGCGATTATCCCGCTGTGGATGATGGACTTTTGCTCAAATATCCATGCATAGATATTCGGCTATCGTCTTCTGATTTACCCCAAGCTGGCATTTGATTTCTTGGAAAATTACTACTCTATGATTGAATACATGTGCAATGTGCAACAGGGTTCTGCGGACTTTGAGCATTTGACAGCTGGGATTAACAATCTGGAGTGAATTCCTACCTTTCCAGATTTCCTGTTTAGTTTATATGCACGTTTAATAAAGCGTTAAGATATTAGGAAATGCGATTTATGAGGTTCTCCGCCAAATGCCAAATAAACACCTCATTTTGAGACAGAATACTACATCTAGTTAAACGAGACCATTCGAAAATGAAATATATTTACTTTCAGTAATTTGCAAACCGACAACGCCCAACACATTTAGTCATCCGTTACTAATTTACGCTGTTGACCTCTTATCGCGTAACGTTAGCTTATATTTGACACGCCATGTTACTAGTTTTTTAAGCCATCGCTGATGCAACAAAAAGCAAGTTTCGAAACCAGCGCAGCTTTAGACAAAACATCCATTGAGGTAGTCAAGCAAGATGCATATTCTGGCCTAGCCGCCAGCATATCCGATGCCACAAATTAAAATCCAGTTGTTAGCAGTGTCCCTCTTAAACACTTTCGTGATATCCTTAGGGAATAAATATCATGTCGAACTCACTTTAACTTTCTGAGTTTCCCAAATGTGCACGAACTGCGTATGCAATCGTCATTGACCAGTTTATTGAATAATTGGCCTGACGAGCAAACCACGAGGGGGTTGAAAAATCGCTTTTCAACAGAAACACATGATATTTTAGCTTACACATCTTTCTTTCAACCGAACATTATTGGGAAGTACGCCGCCAGCAAATCATTGACACTAGTCCATTGTGCACTAGTCCTTCGTTCTCATTCCCGGGAAAATTCGTTGCAAATGATGGTTATTGCTTTGCCCTGTTTTAGTCACAGCACTGCGCTTGTAGAATAGATCAGTGCTTCTTAACAGCGTTCAAGTGGTGATAAAGACGAATATTATGAGGTTTTGTAAGACCTTTAGTATGAGAATTGCTGAATTATGCTTTGTAGATGTGGGCGATACTGACGTATTTGAACTATTCAAGATGAATCCCTGTCACCACATCTCATCGAACAGCAGGGATAGCTTAACTGATAATGGAAACAAGCGGATCCCAGCAAGGAGTTCAGAATATGAAGCAGTCAATCGACCTGACGTTTCGGATTCTCTCTCACACGAACTCTAAAATATGCAGTCCCTATCTGAATATGAACCATATATGCATTATAATTAGCAGTCATCGCAATCCCCGTTGACGCCGTAATTGATGCGCTGATGGCTTGTCTGTCCGCCTTCGAGTCGCTTTCTGCCGCCATTTCGTCATCGGTGTGGGATGCTGGCGCTACGATTTCTCAGCAAATTGACAAATTAGGAAATTTTACCATATAAGGATAATCTGTCATACGTGAGATTGGGTATTTGACTTTTGAATGCGGTTGAGAATTTGACAGTAAAAAAGGACTGAGGTGGCCAGTGACCGGGACCTGTAACTAGAGTGAATGGCACATGCAAAGATGACCTGTTTCACTTTATGGAAGGTTTAAAGTGAGCGCATTGAGTTGAAATTTAAGCGACTCCCTCGTGACTGTTTCCGGTAAGCCACAAGTAACCTTACGGTTTTTCATGTCCTCGTAAGACATGAGTTCCACTGTCAGACTACACTGTTATGCTAAAACGACATTCTCATGCCACAGACACGATTTCCCTCCCAGAAAAAGAAGAGCATTTTATATATTCATATTACACTAGGCATTTCAAGTATGCATGAATACACCTGACGTTAATGGAGACATTTAAACATCTATTATTGTGCGCTGGCCGGACATTGCGCAAACCTGCATGTTTGTGATTCGCAAGAATATGAATGATGTTGTTGCTAGGGACATGAGCCAATGTGGCAAGTATGTAATTGTTTAAGCTGGATGGCTGCTTGCAATTCGTGATATATATGTGCTATGGGAAATGCCTTGAATGGATCCCCTAGCTCTTCGACTGCGTTGCAATAAGGCAGCATTAGATTGTTAAACAATCATCAAAGGCTTTCAATATATAATGCAGTACTTGTTACATCTTCTGATATAGTAACTGATTAGCAGATATTCGTTGACATGCCACTTCACTGTCGCGTATCAGTAGCCAATGGCACTTCTCAATGAATGAAGACTGAAACATGAACTACGCGAAAGACCAGGGCAGAGATAAATAATCAAGGACTTGTCGCTGAATGATGCTTCCTCTAGCCTGGCGACACTCAGCAGGTATGGACGCTTTTTTCGGACACGTCAGAAATACGACGTCAGCATGGCCATATAACGTAAATGGGAATGATGACTTAAATATCTTCGATGGCGAAATGTTGTGAAAAGAGCTCTGCGTTAAAAGAAAAGAATGGGCATCAATAAGAAATGATTCCGCAAAACATCATATGTAATTTTAAAGTTCAAAACAGTGATTGCGATCAAGAGACGAACACACGCAAAGTAACTAAATATGTGTGAGTAAGACAACATTTTCGATAAGAATAAAAAAATTGTCGGGTACGACAGTTGCATATCAGGTTTGTAAGCGCATTCAGTTTTGACTCATTATTTAAAAACGGCTCAAATGCTGTTTTATTTAATTCTTTAAGGGACACATTCCCTTTTTGCTGTAGGAAGTCAGGAAATTATTCAGTAAATTTTTATCCCCATGGGACAAAAATGAAATAAAACGAAGAACCGTCTTGATATGTCTGAATCACGCGACTCCCAAAGTTCTATTTCTGTGGGTAAGTAGTTTTGAATCAACATTCAACGAATAGACCAAAGCACGTCCATGCGTTTGTCCACCTAACGATATTAGTGTCCCGGGAATAATTTGTTGGTCACAGCTCTCAGATCCTGTAGAGTAGGGCAAAAAATCTCACAATAAAGGAAAAAGTGAGGTGGTTTCACAGTGCAAATGATAAACTAAATAGTTTCGCCAACCATATCCCATGAAAAGGGTCCTGCATCAATAATACGTGATTACACAAAATATCATCTATAATTCCGGAATTCGAAATAGTGATTACATCTAAAAGAACACACGCATTGCGAGTGCAGATCTAAATGCAAGACTAAATTTTGAATAACAGTTTATTCGAGGACGATAGGTATATATCAGGATTGTGTGCGGACTTAATTATGACTAATTAGTAGGACAGGGGGCAAAATGCTTTTTGTAATCAGTTATTTAAGAATTATTTTTCTATTTGGCCATGTTGGAAGCCAGGAAATTCGTCGGTAAATCTTTATGCCCATGGGACAGAAATGAAATAAAAAGGAGAACCGTCTTTAACATGTCTGAATCACGCGACTCCTAAAGTTATATTTCCATAGGTACGTAGGCTTTGAGGAACATGTAAAGAACATATAATAATGCGCTGCAGGCGGTTGTCTGTCTTAGTATTTTTGCGATCCGGGAATAAATTGTTGGTCCCGTACGTTAAATCATGTTGAGTTAAGTAAAACAGCATATCACATTAAAATATACGTTGAGGCTGTTAAACAAGAACCGAATTTACGAGCTGAATGGGGAATGCGAATCGAACATCGGAAACTTAGGAAGACGAAGCAGCCACTTAGGCAGTATGTTAGAGTGCCTTTGAATAATACGATTAGTGGAAGGGAGCGCTCTCTCTGTGCACTTTTCCATGCTTAAGAGTTGGGCATAGACCTTTTGTTGGACACTTTCATATGCCGATCTGTTAATGATATTGAATCTGGGTTCCTATTAGCCTGTAGCATTGCGTAGATTTATGTCTCAATGCTTTTGTACGTTTTGCATGAGACATATAAATGACGATTGCCTAACAAACCATTTATTTTTGACAGTCAATTACAGTGGATGCTTGCCCAGGCAAATACGTCAGGGGCTGTAGAAACAAACAGAAAGAAGAAAACAATCTGACTGTCGGCAAATTTTGGCGAGCAGTGTGTACGTGAAGTATGAATTGAGTGTCTTCAGCAGCAAACTCGTGCCACTTGCTATTCAAGTTGAAAGCAGAACAGTAGCAAATTCCAGACGTCAATAAATAAGGTCAAATGACCCAAATTAGTAGAAAACGTTGTTGGATTTACAACTGCTACGGAAAAATATCAACGGGGTTACTAGGATATCACGCCAGACACGAGCTGCCGAAAATAGAGCGCACTCGACCCAATGGGGCCACACCGTCAATTGGGACGCGGCCAAAATTCTAGCAAAATCGGACAGCCGCTTGTGCTTTACGTTATTTAAGTCGTGTTTATCGCGTTCTCACTCGATCAGCAAACGCAATGGCCTATCGTCTCATATGCTGTACTGCGATTTTGCCGGACCATGGTAACCTGGCTCCTGGGAAGGCGTCGGCAACCGATAGTTCCAGCGACAATAAGCCAAACGACAGAAAAATTATAATGCTGGAAATCTTAAACGCTGATAACATTTTAGCCATTAACAGCTCAGGCACAGACCGGCCAGTTATCATCGTATCAAATACGACTCCATCTCAGAACGAATGCCGAACAGCAAATAATATTAGCTGTGTGGAAGATTGACAACTCTGTTCTTTACAAAGTGCACCTCTTTCTGCGTCCACCGTAATCACCAGCGATTCGAAGAATCCGAAGATAAAAACTAATAAGATTTGTCGCTTTTGAATTTCCTTAGAAATGGTCTACGAACTTGGAGTAAATCAGATTATTCATGGTTTATAGGCACAGACCGAGAAGTTTTTGCATTCATATATGTACCGACTTACATTAGATACAAAGAATAACCTCGTAATATTCATCACCTGTTCTGATTGTATTGCATTTCCTCAACCCAAAGAATAATACTAGTTGCCTGTGGCCGGTTAATGAATATTACGCGGTCATCTGCTGTGGCTCATGGACTCCGGCCCAATTATTCATACATGACATTATCGGTTTGTGCCTACAGACCTTGAATAAACTGATCTACTCCAAGTTGGTAAATGATTTCTAAAGGAAATTAAAAAACAAAATTTCTCAACTGATGTATTTATCAGAATACCGACGGTTACTGCTGGGGACCCACTGACGAGCCGAACCCCTCGCAGCTGCGCCATGCTGCGGCAGAGCATCGGCAAAACAGGCGTCTATGGACTTTCGGCTAATGCATGTACTGTTAGCATGGTGTAAACTTACCCTACAGCTAATACGACTGTTGTTTTGGCCATTGCATCCGCTAATTTTAAACCAGTCCTCACCGTCAGGGCAATTATTTTGCACACAGTTATTCTTGCGTCCCTAGTTTCTGCAGACCGTATCGATTTATAATTTACAATCGAAAACATTAAAGTCCTATTTTTCTTGCTCTTCCTTATAGTAAGTTAGCATTCACATATTTCGGCTCAGGGTAATTTGTTAATCTACTACCACGAGTGCATGCTCATTCTAGCATTATGTGACACCATTGCATATCAATAGCCCTAAGAATACACATCAGTGCGTTAGGATGACCCGCATCCATGTCCAACGACAGGTTGCAACACAGTTACAAATCAATGAACGACCAGATAAGCTCGGCCCCCTGACATCTCTACTAGATCTTTGGAATCCTCGAGCATGCACAACGTCGTCTGAAATTGTTTTGCGGCTGTTGCGAGGTTTGCAGCAATGCAAACCTCGAAATCCAAAAATCTACAAATGACAACTCTAAGAATGTGATAATATTTCAGGTGCATTTCATCAGATTATTGGCGAACGCATGTTGCATTTTACCGCTCAATAGTCCCCACTTGAATTCGTAATTAACGATTGCTATTTCGTCGGTTTTAGTTCATCACCCTGAAACAGCCATTAGCACTACGTTTAGCAGTCTGACATGGGAAGAAATGTGTTCGAAAGAAAAAAGCCCACTTTCTTTAACTCATTTGGACGATTGTAGGACTCGAATGTTTAAATGATAATAGCCTTACTCGCACAATTTGAATATCGGCCACTTCAGGCCATACAGCCGACAGTTACTGACAAGAGGCTATGGATGGGGTCGTTCGATAACTGGTTGAGAAACCAGTACAATTCGCGTTCCTCCAGATTTTCTATGTCCAGTAAATGAAGGTCGATGAATTGATAGACGCTGCCCAGATGTTTTGTACCTGCGTAAACCAGATCTAGAGAGGACATTTGATTGATATTGTTAGGGCTATTTTCTTCCATCCGGTAAGTATCATCAACAGTTGCCTTAAATTGCGGTCCAAAACGATGTCATATGTTATGTACATGTCACACTTGTATAACAACTGAGCAGAATCGTTTGTATGTCCTCTACTTTGAATGCCATCTCAATGATTTGCTTAGCCATTACTGATGCAACACAGCGTAGGTGTAAAAATCACGCTGCTTTGGCAAAAACATCCACTGATTTAGTCCACTGAAATGAGTGTTCAAGCCTACTTGCTTAAACACCGCATGACACAAGGTAATGGCCATTTGCTAACATTTTCACTAAATTAAGCATCGTTGATATCCCCATAAAATAAAGAAATATGTCGATCTATTTTATTCCAATAAATTAATAACTGTTCACAGACTGGCATGGTAAGTATTATCGAATATGTTGCTGGGTTCTTGGTGCGACGGTCAAACCACCGCGGATTCGTGTAAAAGCTGGTGAGTGCAAACATATTTATAAAAATCGGAATGACATTCCAAATTTCACAATTATCTTTTAATTGAAAATCATTGGGAAGCCCATCGCCTCCAAATTATTGGCACTATACATGTCTGCCTCCAACAGCAGACGACGAAGTTATCGTACTGAACTCGTCAAGAAGTGGAATTGAGGGAAACTTGCAACCATTTTAACAATCTATTGTCGGATATTACCAGATTTTAAAACGAATATCTTATGTAGACTGAAAATTTCATTAACATTTCAACGTTACTCAATACGTTTTCGTCTCAGGAATTAATATCACCAGTTCTCGATGAACGCATGATCAATTTTGCTTATGAACCTCAAAACAGTTGATGTTAACCACTGAAACAAATCAGAACTTCCCACCAAAAATGACTTGATCGTCCCTCCCGGAGCTGTCCTACGTTGATGCAAGCAATTCTGGCAGTGGCCAAGTACGCGTCGACCACGGTTTATGAAAATTGATTAATATGGACAAAAGCTACTTCTTCTCTCTCAAAGATGGTTTTTTTAGGTCCTTTCCACGGACTGCCATTAGTAATTGTCAGCAGTATGAAACCTAGTTAAGTCTACTTAGGATGATAATTAATTCTTGGCTATTATGTGTATAATAGCTTTCAGGTTTGTTAATTTACGAAACCAGTTAAAAAATGTTTTTTGGATACATATTTTGCATCTCAAATAGCTGAATTGGGTGTTGCCGGCCGTCTGAAATATAACCCTACAAATGCAACTGAATTTTGATCGACTTCTCCATCTTGTCATTTACAAATGCATACGTTTCGAGGTGTACATTGGTAAAAACCTCACAACAGCCGCAAAATATTCCAGACGGCGTACTGCACGCGCGCGGATTCCGGAGGTCCAGGAGAGATGTTAGTGTGCCGAGTTTACTTGGTCGTCCTTTGATGCACGAACTTGTGACATCTTGTCGCTAACCACGACTGTGGGTCAAACCGGACTACAAGACTGTGATATTTGACATGTTATTCATATGCTTTGGTGTCACATTAAGCGAGGAGGTGCACGGACTCATAGAACAAGACTAGAGCAAGCATCGGAGTCAGAGTGTGCGAAAGACAGCAAACTGTATGGAAGAGTAAGGAGGACGGGACTCAAATATTATCAATTGAAAAATTTTGATTAATCGCCGTATAAAACATGCGAACGGTTGCCTAATGATGTACGCAAGAATTGTGTTAAGGCTGCTGGACCACTTCGGATAAAGAACTATGATCGTCGAAACTATATGCTGGAAAGCCACACTACCACGACAGAAAACAAGTGGGGTCGTTTGCCGGATCTGGTGCAATTGCGGACATAGTAAAAACGTCAGAGAGACCTGGGGATATCTCCAGACGTCGATGACCAAGAACACAGCATCGGTGGGCATAAAAGGCATTAGCACTTAAACATCAGCTCAGTTTACGGCAACCGGCCATATTTTCAATTTTCGAGACCCCATTCCTTACAAGGAGTGACAACCCTGTGAGTCTTGAGTTACGAGAAGCTTGGTTCTCAGGCCCGTAAACAATCGAAGAGCACAATGATTTCCCCTTACCATATTAGGTGCGGAGGTATTTCATGAGCATGGGAATAGGTCGCGTGTGGAAGGCGTGAGCGAGCAACAATCCCAGATCGTGAAATTGCGACAATTAACGACTCGGACGCTGATTGACGAGTTATTATCGCCTCAATTTTGAATCCTACCGGTGATAGCGCAAGCTGTTATTTATAGTACGCATGTGGTCCTACGGCAGCTACACAATATACGTAATGCATTCTGTGTGACTCGACTGCCCTTATTTGCGGCTGTCTCGGATAATGAGTTTGCGTGGGGCCAGTAAAACACTCTGTTCCAGTGTTCATGACGTGATCTTCTGAACTGGTTCCTGGATCACCGATGTTCGCTTCAAAAGACAATGCAAAGATAAAGTGGCATAACGAAAAATTAGTTTATTCATTAATTCCAAGAACTCCTCCACTTTGCTGCCTACACACAGAATGTCCAACTGTGCTTTGTTGAAAATAAAAATAAAACTTTCGATCGCGTACCCTTAGTGGGTTTCGTAAAAGGAAATTGTTGGATATAGAATGGCATGTTGAGGCACTTGAAAATGTCCGCCGGAGTTCTAAAGGGGATTGGCAGATGCTATTTGGTATTTGTTATACAGCAGTAAGTATCTGAAATTGATAGATGTCTCCAGTATAAAATTATTTAAACCAAGTATCAGATATCTCGGTGGTTTCCTGTGGTCCACATAATGGAACGTCGTATACTTGTAGGTCAAAACCCACTTGTCGATTATGATAATCCGTTTAGGAAAGAAACGGGGTATTATGAAGTAACAATTGCTCATGATTGGAGTCACATCTATTCATTGGTCTTCCGAAGCAAACAAGCTTTAAATGCGTGGTAGAGATCAAGAACAGGCCATCAGTTAGCAGACCGAAGTCGACAAAACTATACTACCAGAAGAGATACAACGGGTTTTGGGGATAAACTAATACAGCGTTATTTCAGGCTTGTTGGCTTTGATTAACTCAATCATAATCCCGCTTAGATCGGAAAAACAAAAACTTCGACGGACCGACTTTCACCAGTGCCTCGTTGACTGCCCCTATTGGTCACTGAAAATCAGATGTTTACTTACACAGGACATGACGTGCACCGTTTATGCTCGCTCCCTTCCCCAGCCAAGTTGAGGAGACAGGTGGTTATTGCGCTAAGTTGCATGGAAGTTTCATCCAGAGTTAGAGTTAATGCCATACTAAATTTTACGATAGGATTAGAAGTTTACACAGGCTGGAGATTTTGTTACTGCTAAAAAATCCCTCCTGGCGTTAAATGGAAGATCATCTAAATGAAAAGAAATTGGATTTTCAAGTTTGCGTCTTGGCGGTATCCACATAAGGTAACCTCATCCAAACATCTTTCCAACTCTTGGAATGTGCAACAAAAGTGCCAATGCCCGTTAACATGTGACTAAACAAAGTTTCCAAATGATTTTAACACATTGAGTACAAATTATTTAACGGTTTTATTTTAAATGTGATGACTTTTATGACAAGGGCAGTGTCATTTGACAAAGTACGAAGTTCTCCGCGTGCCCTCGTTTGGATGTACTGCGGAAGGCTGGAGAGGCATTTGGGATCACCGGCTTTTAAGCCGAATCAGTTTTTCCTAATATGCCCCTTATGGCACAATCACGCATTTCATGTTCCAACCACCTACCAAATTAAAGCCTGGACAAATTTTGTTTATATAGCAATGATTTTCGCGTGTAGATTTACTATTGATAATTATTAGGCACTGGTGCTGGGTAGTCGAAGAACGTTGCAAATGCCTTAGTTGTTAAACATATCGATTGGTTGAGGTTTCAAATTGTCTTTCTTCTGCGCTTGTAAGATTGTCTTTCAAGCAGGCAACACAAAATGCAATACGCTCACTTGGGAGAGCCAGCTAATGTCATATGGACTACTTATGTTGGAATGTTAAAAGCGAGGTTCGAGTGCAAGACCGTGTTCCCGGTTTGGGCGATAATTCTACCTCCTATCACTAAAAATGTTTTAAAGTAATTAGTATTATGACTATACAAAGAAGATGACTAACTGTCTCAGACGGCATCCTATCTAGCCCACACTGCTGTAGGATGCGGGACAGATGGCGTTATTGCGGGTTTTTTGACGTCTTGTTGGATGAACTTGAAGAATCCAGTGTCAGTTTGATGACTGATGTGTGTTTAGAGATGCAAACCCTCGTGGCCTAACGATTTGCCATGCCCCTTAATCGGCCTGTCTGTCAGGTCAGGGCAGATTAGTTTGAGGCGGTGTTAAACCTTAGCGTGAATTATTGCTTTCCCAGACTTGTATACAATACCAAGCCCCCAGGGCGACGCAAAAGAACACCCCAGGATGCAGTTAGTTCGCAGACTTATTACGTAAAAAGAAATTAAACGAAATCAAATCGAAATTCTGAGGTGAAAGACCTAGAGGTGTGACTGGAATCTGTATAGACCGTCATCCTAAGTGAGGCCTATAACACAATGTGTTTAATTTTCTAACTTTGTCCACTCCGAAAACCAATTTTTCCGAAGACAGCAAACATAGTCAGAATGCCTTTGCTCAAAATATATTGTTCAGTTCAGTTCAGTTCAGTTTATTGAGGGAAATGTAGGTCTTCACCTTTGAACTCCCTATTTGTTTACAAGCAACTGCAAAATCTCAAAAACTCGAAAAGGTATCATAAAGTAACAAATAATCGGAAAAGCGTCAGGTCTGTACAGACAAACAAACTGTCTCGAATTTTAGTGGTACGAGCAGTTGTAGAGCTGTCGTTTCGAGTGCAGCGAAATAAATAATATGTCCGGGGACAAAATTTGCATATGTGCATGTCAGTAAGCGTAGGCGATGGGTTGGTACAATAATAAGTTCAATTTTAAATGTTACTGAAATATAGCAAGTAGTATTATAATAACGGAATTTGTCGAGGTTACAGAGATCGGGGTAGTAATTTAGTGCACACTGCTACACAAATCCAGCGTCCTTTTAAAAACCTCGACGGAAGCAGACATAACGACATCCACAGGCAGGGCATTCCATGCTTCTACCACTCTGTTGGAGAAGAAGAACTTTCGTGTGTCCAGTCTGGCCCCTGTCACACGTAGTTTGAATGGATGGCCTCGTAGATTTGTGGTGGTTGCTAACTCGAAGAAGTCACCCGGTACGAGGCTGCAGTCCTGACCGCGTATGATACGGAAGACTTGTATCAGGTCACTCCGTAACTGCCTGTAACTCAAGGGAAAGAGATGAAGGTTAGCTAACCGCGTTGCATATGGTAGTGAACCCTGTCCTGCCACAAGTTTCGTTGCACGCCTTTGAACCCTTTCAAGGATGCTGAGGTCCTTCGCGGTCCAGGGTCTCCAAGCTTGGATAGCAAATTCTAGTTGCGGACGCACAAAAGTTCGAAAGACTTTAGCGAAGCAGTCTTCGTCAAAGGCAGAGAAAGCCCGCTTGACAAGGTAGAGGACTGACATTGCAGACTTGGCTATCTTCGTGCAGTGCAGCGAGGGTTTGAGCGAGGTCGTAATCCATACTCCCAAGTCCTTCTGCGAGTCCACTTCTTGCAGTGGTATACCATTTAGACAGTAGGCCATATGGTTCGGAGAGCGAGCTCTGCCGACTCGTAGAATATTACACTTTTTCTCGTTGAACGGCAGAAGCCAGGCCTTTGACCACTGTTGGAGTCGATTTAGGTTCGCCTGCACATGTTCTTCGTCATCTGCAGTTCGAATGACGCTCCAGACCTTAATGTCATCCGCAAACATGGCGACACCACAATCCAGTTCACTCACGCAATCGTTGACGTAAATGATGAACAAAGTAGGGCCAAGAACTGAGCCTTGGGGAACACCGCTTTCAACGGCAACCTCCGTCGACTTCTGGCCACCGACATGGACAGTTTGACAACGGTCTAACAGGAAGCTTTGAATCCATTTTAAGAGGTTACCCCTAACGCCTGTTCGGCTCAGTTTGTGCAGGAGTCGCTGATGTGGGACACTATCAAATGCCTTTTTAAAGTCGATATAGACTACATGCAGCGCACTGCCTTCATCAACTGACCGAGTCCAACGTTCCAAACAGTTGAGCAGGTTAGTCACGCAAGACCTGCCACTACGAAACCCATGCTGCGCATCAGATAATAAATTATGCTGCTCTAGAAAGCGCATCAGCTCTCGCTTGATTATTTTCTCCATGAGTTTGCAGCAGATGGAAGTGAGGCTAATTGGCCTGTAATTGTTTGCAGAGGCCTTGCTGCCTCCTTTATGCAGTGGTGTGATCCGCGCAGATTTCCAGTCGGCGGACAAGCAGCCGGCTTCGAACGAGGCTTGGAAAAGCATGGACAATGGTTTGGCTAGTTCGGCAGCGAGCTCCTTCAGTAACTTAGGCGGTATGTCGTCTGGACCTGGTGATTTCGACTCATTTAGCGTCATTAGCTCTTTGCGAACCGTCGCTTCATCAAAAGACACAGACTCACTTTTTGGACCCTCATCGAAGTCGTAGTCGGGGGGAGTAAATGGACTTTCACTAGTAAAGATGGATTTGAAAAATTGTGAAAAGTGCTCAGCTTTTTCTCCATCCTCACTAATCTCTACTTCTCCGCCAGTCTTCAGGAGGGGGATTGGATCTCTGTTTCGTGTGCTGCTTCTTATGTAGCTGTAGAATAATTTTGGATTTTCCATAGCACGATTCAATAGGTCTTTTTCAAAATTTTGCCGTGTCCTGAGGGTCAGCCGCTTGACTTAGTTCCTCTGTATTTTGTATGCGTTTATGGATACAGGAGTCCCATCAGTAAGAGATTTCTGCCACAATCTCCGTTTTTTATTTATTTCCTTTTTTAACGCCTGGGTCAGCCACCGGGGTCGATTGTTTAGCCCCTTCCGTGAAAGCGGGCAGTGGTTTGTCAGGAGAGCATGCAATAATTCACTGAGCCATTTCCAATCCTCCTCTTTATTTCCGGAAAACGCTGATTCCCAGTCCGTATTGTTGATTTCGGCCTTCATTTGATCGAAGTCCCCACGCCAAATATTTCTTCTAATTTTAGTGGGCTGTTCAGGCACGGAAAAGATTGAATAGTCCCATTGAAGTACAACGTGATCGCTTCGACCTAAGGGAGGCAGACATTGTACCTCATCTATGCTGTCCATCGATTTCGTGAGCACCAGGTCCAAGCAGTTTGACTGCTGCCCCTCACGGACCCTCGTGGGAAATAGGACGTGCTGTGTGAGAAATGACCTGAGTGCCATGTCCAAGAAGCGTCGGTCGAAAGCTAGTTCTGGGCCGCGCGCGTATAGTGAACTCCAATCAATGAGCGGTGCATTTAAGTCGCCCATGATTAGGATGTCAGGCCGGAGAGCAAATCGTCCTAGCTCCTCTAACAGACGAGCGTCAGCCTCGGGGTCACTCCTCGGTGGTCGATAGACGGTCAGAACTTCAAGGCTATGTGATCCTGGTACCCTTATAGTGAGCCAGATAGTCTCGGCGCTGCAGGCAAACTGTTCTGTTTTTTCTGACACAAGCAGGCCGTGTTTTACGTACGTGACGACTCCTCCTCCCTGACGCTCTCTCCTGTCTCTTCGAAACAAATGAAATCCTGGTAGCATTAATTCGCGGTCATCCACGTTTTCAGACAGCCAGGTTTCTGTCAAAGAGACAATGTCAGGGGAAAGGTCACAGATGTGGATCTTCAGTTCGTCTAACTTGGGCAATATACTCTGCACGTTGGTGTAAAAAAATGTTAGTTTCAGAGTTTTGGGGCGTTTGATTATGGTGCCGTTTGTGATCCCATTTAAGGAAGCTACTGTGCCCTCATCCGGATCGGTTCGGTCCAACGGATTAGGGGAGGGCGCTGCACTATCTGGTTGTTGTAGATCACAAGATCCGTCTCGCCATTCTGCAACCTTGTTCTCAGTTCCAGAACTAATTGTCGACGTTTTATTCTCTCTGCCGGTGTGTAGTCCGGCTGAAAAAAAACGCCGCGGTTGGTGTCTTTGATTCGGAAACGTCGTGAGAGAATAAGTCCTACTTGTTCTTGGTTGGCTAACACAATCATGAGTGGTCGCGGACGTGAGTGCTTTGATATATCGATTGAGCGCTTTCCAAGCCTAAAGGCCTTGAGAACCGAAACTTCCTCATTGGTTGAGGGTTTTAGGACCCATGTCATTTCCCGTGATGGGCGACACGGACGCCGACGTCCCTGGTTCCGGTTCTTCGGAGGCATTCCTCGGAAGCTGCTGTTCATGTCCTTCGACCTTTTTGCTGCACGATTTCTTTTTTTCCTCTGGATTTTTATCGTTGCTTCGCTGGTTGTTGTCGTCTTGTATTTTATGTGTTTGTGCTGGGTGTGCCGTGACAGCTGCAGAAGGTGTTGATGGCGTATTTTTTGTGCGACGTCCTTTGGCCCTACTTCTAGTTATTCGTCCAACAGGTACATTCGCATCGTCAAGTGTGTCTAGTTTACATTGTAGAAGGGTTTTCATCTTTTTCATCTCTTCCTCAAGGCGGTTGATTTTGCCGGCCAATATCTCGCATCCACTGCAAAATCGATCGGTATGCGGCACGCATTTACTATCAAGTAAATTTTGCGACATCGCCCGCCGTCGTGCCGCGGTGGCCGAGGGGTTAGCGTGCGCGACTGAGGTGTCGATGGTCGGTGGTTCGACTCCGTCATGCAGCGCAATATTTTGTGTGGCTGCGCAAATCGTCATTATGTAGTGGACTTATGCAAAACGGACAAATCTGCAGGAATAACAAGCTATTTCCTAAGGCGCAACTGTGGACAGTGCCTATGCTTATGCTGGATACGCCGAAAATTTCCAGGGAACGCTTTTTTCAGGCAAATCTATGGTAAAGTGAGACAACTCGAGTTGTCCGAATTTAAGCAGCACAGCAAGCAGTGTAGAAATATCGACTCAGCCTTATCGTAGATGTTGCTCCTAACTTCGGTGAGCAATTTCAGACGGTGTATTGGATGGGTAGGCCCTGTAGACAAGCCGAGATTTCCGACAGATAGACCGTTTTTGCTGAAATTTGTTCTGATCGAATGATAGGAGTATCGATGGCGATAGCTGGAGGATCGTTGTCAGAAAGGCGTTTTATAATCCACGTTTTGGCGAAGGACAGTCGTTTTCAGCGAAGAGACTCAATTTAAAAACTTCCGTCTTGAAACTCAAAATTCAAACCGCGCGGCATCGATTCATTGTGCAGGCCTATTTTCATTGTATTCCGTATGGTTGATAAGGGTAACAGGCAATTCGTTTGTTTAGATTACCATGCATTTTTAAGTTGACCTGACTATAGTGCAATTTAAAATTTGCAGATGCGGTCAGTTAACCAGTCCTGAACAGCTAACTGTTTCACATTCTAGAAGAAGCATCAGAGTGAATCCGGTAGGCGCATAAGCAAAACGTTAGTTAGTTAGTGCTGTTTGCTGGCTCACTGTCTCCGTGATGATTGCTCGCCCGCGCCCACCCCACGTGACTGATTCTCCTGCCATTGGGAAAACCACAGTACGGAATAGGGTACCTGGAGTTCATTGTGCTTGTTGATGAATTGCGGGCCTGAGAACCCTGACTCGAGCAGCTCGCGACTCACGCGGTTGTCAACCCTTGCGAGGATTTCGGTTTCTTAAAATTTGAACTTATAGCCGGGTACCGTCGAGTGTGCCGCCAACTGAGAGTTAACGTCTCCCCGCCTCACTGCTGCTGCGTGCTCGGCAATTCGAGTTCGGAGTAACCTCCCAGATTCTCCGACATAATTGCTTTGTCCACAACAACACTAGATCCGGCAACCGACTCCAGACTTTTCCTGCCGTGGCAGCGGATCTTTTGGCCTCATGATTTTGCGCCTAATGGTTGCTTCCGGCCTGTGTGCAACACCCAATCCAGGTGGAGTGAGAAGACGACTGACGGCTTCCGAGACAATTTTCACGTACGGAAGAGCCCGCCAAAATTCGGGGTCGGTTGAATTTGGTCTCTGGTGTCATTGTGTATGCAATGGTGGACAAAGTTTCGCGGGTAACCATTGCCTCAGAAAATCCGTCGAGATATTGGAATTCGGTAACCCTGTTTTCCAGTAGGACACTTGGTGTCCAATGAGATTCTTCGTTTCGTCTATCGCTCCCGTCTGGCTGAGTATTGATTTCGCTGCTGCGATCATGTTGGCAGGTTTGGTATCGGCTGTGTTGATTGAGGCCTCATGACGTAAAACCTGCATTTGTTCCTCCGTCAGCTCATTTGACGACAAGTTGTGACAGACGAAACGAAGAACCTCATTGGACACCAAGTGTCCTCCATCCTCATGGCTTATAGGACGCGCGACGTGCGTTCCAAGGTCGAGCGCGATGCACTTAAGGAACTCAGGGCCGACAACTAACTCCTTATCGTGCCTGCGGCCAAGGGACGTTCAACGGTCGTATTGAACAGGACAGACTACAATCAAAATCCAAAAGCTCGTTCGAGGATCGTCAGTCCTATGTCCCATGCGAATCCAACCCCATGAAAACGCTGACACGCGAGATTAACGCGACGCTGTTGGCACTGGAGCATTCAGGTGCAATATCGCCAATCGACCGACGCATGGCGAGAGCACAAGAAACGGCCCTAGCCCGATTCTACGGTCTCCCAAAAGTGCACAAAGTGGGCGCTACTCTCCGGCCTATCGTATCACTAAAGGGCACTTCAACCTACGGACTGCCAAGGTGGCTGTTCCAACGTCTCAAGTTCCTGACCTCCAATTGAAACACCACAGTCAGCTCGTAAACGCAATTCTTGGAGAAACCAAACGGAGTTAGTCTCCCGCCAAACGATATCATGGTTTCGTTTGATGTCACGTCCCTTTTTACTTCTATCCCGCAGGACCTGGCAGTCGAGACCATCGAACTACTCCTAAGAGAGAAATACGGCGGAACGGAGAATCGCCTCGGACACGCCCAAATCATCCAGCTCCTGAAGTTCTGTCTCAAGACGCACTTCACTTTTGACGGAACAATCTCCGAGCAAGTGAAAGGAACGCCAACGGATTCGCCGAGTTCGGGACTCATAGCCTAGGCTGTCCTACAGCGGTTGGAGTCGCTGGTCTTGCAACACCACAGACCGAAATTCTGGGCTCGGTATTTGGACGATAATTTCGTCGTCATCAAACGGGATCAGGGGCTTACGTTCAATGAACGTCTCAACAGCGTCTTCTCGGACATACAATTTACGATGGAGGAGAAAAAATTAACCAGCTGGCCTTTCTTGATGTCCTCGTCTGTCACAATGATTGTTGTGGTCTAAAGACCAAAGTGTTCGGGAAAGCGACAAACACGACGCAAATACTGAACTTCAAAAGCAACTACCCGATCAGTCACAAACGCAGTTGCGTAAGGGCGCTATACCGGCGCGTTGAGACGACCTGCAGTAAAATGAAAGACAGGGCTGCTGACTTACAATATCTTCGACGGGTAATGAGAGCCAATGATTACCACGGCGCATATTTCTGTACTGCCAAACGTTACTGCCGACACACTATGGACTGTGTAATCAACATTTCTTGATGGAGGATGGCTCTGAATTCACTGGCACGCATGTTTAACATCTTTAATACATTTGGAATGATAGTTTCATATGCATTGTCCGAAGCATTTGAATATATACCAGTGTGGACAATTGAATCATATTTGGCAGGTTGTTGTCGCCTTTCC